TAGGTTTATCAAAAACATGTCTCATGAGACATTAGCAAATTATTTTAGAATTTCACTCTGACAAAAAGTAGATTAGATTTAAATATTCCTGACACCCCCAGCTTATCTGAGGCACTGTAGAAAAGAAACAAACAAAAAAAAAAAAAAAATGAAATTATTTGATCAAACCCTAAACCTCAAGTTATTGTCAAATTGTGTACTAGCCTACTAGCTACTCAAGCCTCAGAAGCTAACTCGCCAAACCGGACGTCAAATTCGACATGTGCCTGTGGTCGCCTGGCAACACAAAAACCTCTTCAGCCAATCACAGGCTTGGACTGGCGCATTGATACAAGCGAATAGAACACCGTATGTTTTTGAATTCCATATGCTTTTTAGTCCATTGATGCTTTGTAGTGCGGAGCTCGGCACTGGGTTATTGGTAAGTACGATGCAGATTGTTATTTATTTAGAATATTTGATTGTTATAGAAAATAATCATTTGTATGTTTGAACCACGTGATGATGGCACGGCTTCAGAAATATAGTGCGCAGTGGAGGTGCGTAGAGTCAGGTTGTTTTGTAGGCTGTTATAAGAGAGCGCCCATGTGTGTGCTCATCAGAAATCTAGCGTCTGACGACTGAACAGATGGATGGAGGTGCTGCTGTTTCTAAACCTTATTTGACATCCATTTTTTTGTGCCGACCACGTTGCTGAGAACTTCTGGTGGATTTCTTGAGAACAGTAGGTGTAGTTATACTTCATAACCGCGTTGGATCGGTGTGATTTGGATGCAGTCGTAAAATTTATTTTACTTTGAGTTTAATACCGCAGTTAACGTTATATTGGTTTGGTTGGTTTGAACGGTGTCCTCAAGCAGATTGTGGCTTTTTCGATCTCACGTGCGCTTTGGATCAAACGATTGGTTTTCATTTATGAGGAAAGATCTCGTTTTGATTCAAGTTGCTTAAGTTATGCATTGCATTTCGAACATTGTAGTACGCACGTTTTACTTGCTTACGTTGCACATAAACTTTAGTCATAACTAACGTTATATTTATCGTGAGTTCGCGTGATGAGTGCCATGGATCAAAACATCTTATTGTAATTTTCATCATAAGTTGGAACCAATCCAAAATGAATCAGGCGTGTAATTTCTTCTATTATTCCAACAAAATGGAGAAACATTTCGTTTTCAAGGCAATTGTGGTTACCAAACAGAATAAAATTCCCTGCAAGACACCAATGAGAATTAAAAATTGTCCTAAAGATTAAGACAAAACATGGTTACCCACTTTTGTATTTATTTGGTTCCATTTTGCATATTTGATATTGTTCTGATCGTTTTAAAATTACGATGGGAATCCATTCACATTCTGTGTTTGGCTCAACCCTGTCAGAGTGTCATTCATAATTTATCAATTGCATTACATTTTTGGTGTACATGAATTATTACTGCTCTTTTGGGATTTGTTTGGATTTTTTTTTTTAATTTATTTTTTTTTTTTTTTGAATCCTGATGAATTAGTTGAGGAGCAGCTGAGTGTCACCCATTATAAATGCTTTAGTTCTGTATTTGTTTGGGCTTCTGGAAAGCCTGAGAATCATTGTTAGCTTTTCTGTTATAGAGTGGTGATCCTGTTAGATGTGTAACTTCTCTTAAGGCTCATTATTCCAATGAAATATGAACTATCTAGATGGTTTAAGAGATTTTAGAAAATTGAAAATCAGTGAAATTATTTTTCCACTTGTCGTAGGAAACCGCATAGATGGCAAACATGGCCTCAGCTTCATCCAGCAGCGAAAGTGAGTCGCAAAGTGTGCTTTCCTGGGAGCAAGTGAGCCGCTTGAACGATGTGCTGACAGAGGTTGTGCCCGTCCACGGACGTGGCAACTTTCCCACCCTGGAGGTCCGGCTAAAGGATATCATACAGATGGTGAGGAGCCGTCTGGAGCTGAGTGGTATTACAGTCAAAGATGTGCGTCTGAACGGATCCACTGCTAGCCATGTACTGGTAAAGGACATAGGCTGGAGCTACAAAGACCTGGACATCATCTTCAGGGTAGACCTTCCTCGGGAAGAGGAGTTCCAGCTCATCAAAGATGTGGTTCTAAGCACTTTGTTAGACTTTCTGCCTGAGGGGGTGAACAAAGAGAAGATCACTCCTATGACTCTGAAAGAGGCCTACGTCCAGAAGCTGGTCAAAGTCTACACTGAGCAGGATCGCTGGTCCCTCATCTCTCTGTCCAATAACAATGGCCGCAATGTGGAACTTAAGTTTGTGGATTCAATCCGGAGACAGTTCGAGTTCAGCGTGGACTCCTTCCAGATCATTTTGGACTCTGTGCTGTCGTACTATGACTTTTCAGAAAACGCCATGTCTCGGCACTTCCATCCTACCGTGGTCGGGGAGAGCGTGTACGGTGACTTCGCCATGGCTCTGGACCACCTCAGGAACAAAAAGATTGCCACCAAACGGCCAGAGGAGATCCGTGGAGGTGGTTTGCTCAAATACTGCAACCTCCTGGTGAGGGATTTTAGGCCCACGGACGAAGACGAGTTTAAGGCACTGGAGCGCTATATGTGCTCCCGTTTCTTCATTGACTTTCCTGACATTGGCGAGCAACAGCGCAAACTGGAGGCTTATTTGCAAAGCCACTTTGTCGGTGAGGAGAAGAACAAGTACAACTACCTCATGATCCTGCGGCGGGTTGTGAACGAGAGCACCGTGTGTCTCATGGGACACGAGAGGCGCCAGACGCTCAACCTCATCTCACTGACGGCGTTTCGGGTGCTCGCCGAGCAGAATGCTATACCTGATGCGTCCAACGTCACCTGTTACTACCAGCCGGCTCCGTACGTCAGAGACCTGAACTTCAACGACTACTATGTGGCCTCTTGTAACCAGTCCATTCCAACTTGGTTGCCTTGTAACTAAGACAAATGATTCTTGTTCAACAACAAAATCCATGAGTTGGCTAGAAAAGCTGGATTTTTGGCCATAAGGGATGTTTCCCTCTGTAGGCATAAAGGACTTTAAAATGACAAGTGTTTCCTTTCCTTTTCTTTTTTTTTCTTTCTTTCTTTTAATTCCTTCTCCGCAGAGGTGCCAAGATGTTTTTGATTCAAAGTGATATATTTTAGCGAATTAATTAAACTTTTTTTTTTTTCTTCCCCCTTAATATTCTAAAGTTTCAGATTTGTTTGCTCTCATCGCTGTCCTTGCTCTGAGAGATTTTTTTTTTTTTTTTTTTTTTTTTTTTTTTTTCCATGTTGAAAAGAAACAATTCCCACAGTGCCTTAATATATTGTTACCTCTAAAAATGAAGGAAATGCACATTGGGACAAAATTATATTTTTCCTGTGATACAAAATAAAGGCCAAAAAAATAAAAAATGTTCTTAGAAATTGAGAGAGAAAAAAAAAAAAAAAAATGAGAGAAAAAAATATATGAAAAATGTGAGCACAGGTGAAATTGGTATTTTAGGTCTCAAGTTATCAGGAGATTTTTTTTTTTTTTTTTTTTTTTTAACATTAGTGGGCAGCTAAAGTTCTTTTTGTTATCATGAGTAGAAATGTGAACAGAATCATGTTGAAGTATTCATAGCAATGCGCTTCAGTTTGCTGTGTGAATGCATACAGATGACTTGTGTTCTACTGTACATTTTGGAGAAGTTGTGCAGTTTGTAAACTTGTTCAGTCTTACTAGTTACATCCAGGGTGAGAAATTGAAATTGCTTTCAGCTCTTCCCCTAGAGTAGAGAGAGCAGTAAAGTAATTTTAATGAACTAGATTAATAAGGA